TTATAAATCACAGTGATTCACACACACTTTACTTACGGTGCCTACTGTTCGTTTGATTCAATTATCTATCTCTTCAATCTATCTGCATATCTATCTATCCATGTCCTCCCGCTGGTTTTTCTCGCCAGGCTTATATACTAAAAAAGAAGGCGCCTCGAACAAACTAGAGTTTCCAGGAAAATTCATGATCCTTCGAGAACTCCAGCGTGCATGCTCTCAGCATCGAGTGACGTCCGCTGTCATAACACTATTTAACTCAGCCTATCATGGTTACAGCAAAGATGACGATTACAATCATTCCTTTCCAAGTCTACAACATTCTGACCACAATTATCTTCTGATAAGCTAACCCTCTTCTTCTCAACTGCTGAATTATTTTCTGTTCCAGACTTTTCTATATGCACGGCCCAGGCAATATTTTAGGCGCCTGGTCCACGAAAGTGGTTTTTCTCGGGACATTCCCGTTTCCCCCAACAGCAAAAATTCTACGGCACTGGATATATAAATTCCCTTCTGCCCTGAAAGACCCTATGTCCAACAGGAGCCATTTGAATTGTGAATTTTGGATCTCCCTATTCAAGACTCTCTGGACTCCTTTTGACTGCTTGAGGCACCTTCAAATCTGCCATGTCATCACAATCTTCTATAAGTAAGTTAAAACCACAAAAATTCAAGTATAGCCCACACCACCATCACGAGAGGGGCGAAGAGTAACTAAAGCTTCTGAGCACCCTCGGTTTGGACTTCTTGGAAGGTATCTTTTCCAAACAAGCAATACATAAACTTGTACATCTGGCTTGGCTTAGGATTGTGTATAGACCATTAGTTGAAGTATTAAACTTGTGAGATACTTAACTCTTTTTGTTTCACTATAGTATTTAAGTCCGATATTTCCATAGTTCTCTTTCTTGCTCTTGATTTTACTTTGGTTTAAACTCTTGTTCTCCTACCCTCGACTGTAGCAACCAAACGCTACAGAAGAACATTCTGACTACATCAGACTTGGATGCACACTTCCCGACAAGTTGCAACAGATAGATCATTAAGAATGAGATCTGTGTTTGTTTAATGAAGAATTTTATTTTTAAGACAACACTTGTTTTGCAGTTTTTTCCAAATGGGTCATCCCCGTCACCCCAAACATGCTCGCCCTTTCAGCTGTGGGGGTGTTATATGTGATGGTCAATTCCACTATTCATTGGTAAAAGAGTAGCCCAAGAGTTGGCAGTGGGTGGTGATGACTAGCTGCCTTCCCTCTAGTCTTACACTGCTAAATTGGGGACGGCTAGTGCAGATAGCCCTCGTGTAGCTTTGCGCGAAATTCAAAACAAACAAACAAATCTCTACTATAAAAATTATTTTTGGGGTTCAAAAGTCTTGAAAATACGTTTTATGGGAACTTGTGACTTTTCTGTTGGGCATCAGTCTACCTGAATATCATGTCAAACCATCAGACTGAGAATGATAGGATGAAGTGCATGTCTTCACCACACCTAGCATTCAGCACAACTCTCAAACTGACTAATGAAGTTCTTCCTTAATTCATGTGGATTTATCCAGATGCTCTGAATTGTGATATCCTGTGTTAAAATTAACTGTTACTAAACAATACATGCTTAACTTTGAATGTTCAAGTGATCAGTATGTGATAAGAATTTAATGAACTATGGACTGTACTGAAGTGTCATAGAATATATAGGTTTTGCCCAATTTAACGAAATAATATATAATTATTTAGTAATTATGGGCAGTCGTCTATCCAACTATGCACTTGAATGGTTTTTGGTATCTCTCAGTTAATTGGCAGAGCAGAAAAGTTATATTTGCTAACAAGTTCTCAGACTTGGATGTACACTTCCCGACAAGTTGCAACAGATAGATCACAAAGAATGAAATCAGACCTAAGTTTACACAAAAACAAATGTTTATTGTTTCTTCCTCAGCACAGTAAATAAATAGCACAATAAACTAAAAAATAAACTATTGAGCAAATGATGGTATGTACATGAGTGTGTGACTTGAATATAAAACAATAGTTGTAAGTTAAACTGGGTGATATAAAAGAAAATGCTGACTGAAAATGTGCCCAAATTCAATCAAATGTCACATTATTGTATATTGTTACGACAGCGGAAGTCACGTGACTCTGGTAACACGTAATGAGTTCTAGAAAGATCGGGGAACATCACCAATAATCCAGTATTTGCTAGACGCCCTTTATTCTTGTATATAAGTGCTCCAGACAATTGATCGGAATTAGAATTGCAGACAGGCAGAGATAGAGATGGACAATTGAGTCAAGCGCGGTAGTAAGTAAAGTGCGTGAATCGTTCGTTGTGAATTATAGCGTGTGTTTACGTTAATAAAACTGTGGAAATTAAGTGTATTGCAAAGTTGAATTGAGAAAGAATAAACTAGTTTTATTTAAGAAAGGTCTTGTATCGCTAAAGTTTCTCGGGAAGAATTTCTACCAGAAATTATCAAACGAGCAGAGACGTAACAAATTGGTGTCAGATAGTGGGACTGAAAAAAAAAAGAAAAAGAAGATGGAAACGAGAAGTGGCAAATCAAACTATAGCTTAGCAGATTTGATGGCAGCAATACAAGAACAGCAAAAGAAACAAGAAGAACGAGAAAAGAAACAAGAAGAGGGATTACAGCAGTGGGAAGAAAACCTGCAACAATGGCAGCTCGAACAGCAAAATAAACAAGAAGAGAGATTACAGCAGTGGCAACTGGAACAAGAAAGGAAACAGGAAGAAAGTTTCCAACAGTTGCAGGAAAGTCAGCAGCAACTACAGGAAAGTCAACAACAGTGGCAAGAAGTACAAATGGAAAACATTAGCAAATTTCAAAGTGAATTAAATACATTAAAGGGTGATTTACTGTCTTTTCCACAAGGAGGATATATTAGCCATCGACCTAATCAGCCTCAGGCAACGGGAAGCCCTTCCAGACCCTGCAGCTAAACCCTAATGCAAACATCTTCAGTCCTGTTGGAAGTCACATTCCAGATATGAATGTCAGAAATAGGGGTGACCTAGTACGAAAAAAGCCACAGGAATTCGATGGGAAGGTATTATGGGAAGCATATAAAGCACAATTTGAGCTCCTGGCAGAAATGAATGAGTGGATAGCGGAGCAGAAAGCAGTGTACTTGGCAACGAGCACGAAGGGACAACCACTGGAATGACTTGGACAGTTGTCAGCAGACGACAGGCACAACTACAGAGTACTGGTAGCTGCTCCAGAACTCAGGTATGGAACTCAAAATCAGTCTGAAGTCTACAGGGCTAGGTTTAGGACGAGAGTCCGTGCTAAAGGGGAGAGTCTGCAAGAGCTGGCACAGGATTTGGAAAGTATGGCACACAAGACCTATCCAACTGTGCCACCCGATGCCCTCAAGTTGTTACTGAGGGACCAGTTTGTAGATGCCTTGGACAGTCCACAACTAAAGATACAATTAATGCAAGCATACCCATCTACTATGCAGGATGCAATGGCCAGAGCTCTTGAATTTGAATCTTATGT